TTAAATAATATCTGAAATTACTAATTTTCTGCTGAATTAGTATTAACCGTTTTGCTTTGATAATATAAAGATTGGCTTTGTGATTACTTTTTGTTTGATTGACAAAAAGGTCTTTATTCCGTTTGTATTAAATCTTACTAATATTATAAATGCTAATGTTTAGATGGATGGATGTTTTTTTTTTAAAAAGTATCTCCCGAACGGCTTAAAAGATTTTGATATAATTTGGCACACATAATCTAGAAGAACACATAGGTTACTTGATAATTTTTTTAAATTCCGCGCGGACAGAGTCGCGGGCGACAGCTAGTTATAATACGCTTCTTTATATCTGCATTGTGATGATGAGCGGAAGGTCAAGAAATATATACATTGTTGATTTGAAGTTTAAATGTCGCTTGATAGCAAGCAATAACAACGTATTAATGAAATATAGAGATAACGTCCCAAAAAAACATCCATCCATATGAACTTTTGCATTTATAGTATAACTAGCTGCCCGCGACTCCGTCCGACTAGTGACAATCGCAATATTCAGTCGATAAATCGATAAAATAATTTAATCAACTTTGACATCTTTGAAGATACTAATAAGATTAATTGCGATTATTTATAGAAAGGCGCTTTCTAATAAAATTCAATTACGACTGAGATCAAAAGGTGGGATAAATAATGTTAATAGGGAGCTAACTAGTTTATTACAGAATATATTTAGTCGTACTAATGGTCGTCTATTGGTCGAAAGTAAACAATAAAAATAAATTATTTTTGAAAATAGCGTTTTTTTCTCCGCCAAGTGCTTAATACTTTTAAGGCGCGTTATTCACTTTAATACTGGCATTAAATTACAGTAGAAATGACGTCACGGCTTAAGTCAATACGGTCAGCAGAAAAAAAAAGATTTTTCTTAACATGTCATAAAATCCAGCTTAAACAAGTAGAGGAACAAATTTTAACCACAAATAGCGTAAAGTTATTTTTTTTACATATTTATCTAAAACATAAAGAGGAAAGATTTGCATTGAATAGGGTCCGAAACTACTGAACTGATTGGAAAAATTCTTTCACTGTTTGGAAGCTTTACTATCCCTGGGTGACAGGTTAGATCAGTCTTTCCCAAAGTGGGCGATAACGCCCCCTTGTGGGCGCTGCAGGTCTCAAGTTGCGGGTTATAGTAAAAGTTTCGTTTAGAATTCTCCGTTAATATACATATATAGGTCACAATAATTAATTTATTTAATTTGAAGTTATAGTGGTTTTTAAATATGTCAAAATATGGGGGCGCTAAAAAAAATATTTATTCTCAAAGTGGGCAGTAGACAAAATAAATTTGGGAACCACTGGGCTATATTTATTACTAGATTTTTTAAACTGTGTGTAAGAAGTCGCGGGCAACTGCTATATTTAATAACTTAAGAAGATTACTTAGTAACTAATTTTGCGATAAGATTTCTGAGAATTGAACTTTAGGATGATATGATGTTTATTTTATTTTTCCCGTATCATGCTTGCATCATTATAATTTAAACGACTAAGCCCTGGTTTCTAAGGCTAAGATCTCTGAATAAAACATATCGTCAACCCTGTCATTATCTTTGACAAAATAAAGATAACAATTTTTTTTAAACAAGGATGTTCAGTCTTAGAAACCCACGGTTATTCGTCCAATATAATTAAAGCCAGTTCCACACTTTCAGTTTTTACTGAATAGTCCGACTGTTTAGTTTAATCTGTATGTGTGTCGCTATGTTTATATAAAGTACGGCGTTATTGTACCATAGACAATCCAAACATTCTCTATGACTCAACTCTATGTAGATATTTGAATGAACTTACCAGGTAAATGTAAAACCCCTTAACATAGAAATGAGGAAGGAAATCAAGTTAAATTATTCTTCGAAACTGTATGAAGATAATTAAAAAACAATTGTTACGAGATTTTTTATAATCAATATAATTTGAAGACCTTATAAGGTTGTCAATATCGAAACACAGGTATAAAGACATGTTATACTTTAAAAAGAAAACAAGACCGATAACAAATTGGTGTTACAGTGTTAACTTACTGTTATAATCAACTGTGTAGCACACTGAAGGTTAATTTGTTTAATGGAAAACAAAAACTCATGTGAAGCAAATTTTCTCTCTTTCACACATCATTGTTACCTTATCTTTCATCTCACTCGTGTAACGAAATTGAATTAAGCATATAAGTCAAAAATCTTTCAATCTTCCATTAATTCAAAAAAAGTTTAGATTTAAATAATTTAATGTCATAAAAAAAAAATTACCTTAAAATACTTTTCTACAGATTACTTTAACAGTGAGTTTCTAAGACCAAAATTCACGTTTAAAACATATTATTAAACTCTTTGTACGTAATGACAAGGATGACGATATATTTTATATTATTCAGGTCTCGGAAATCAACGGTAAGTCTAATAAAATTGCTCTTTGGTTATTCCCATAGCAACAAGATGTTTAAATGGTAGGTTCACTGCAAACCAGTATTCCATGATATGCCAAAGGTTTTCCCGTACGGGAATCCCATTCAAACTATTAACGTACGGAGTACATGTATTAAAACATATTATTGTCTCTATTTTACCAAAGGGAATGTAAGGGATGAAGATGTTTTTGCGCAATGATAATTCAGTTAGCTTGTGGGACAACAATTAGGAGGTAAATTGGTCATTTTGTTGGGATATTTTTATTTTTTGTCGTAAATAAATCTTCATACATATCTTAGTAATATTATAAATGCGAATGTTTAGATATTTGTTACGAGGTATCTCCAGAACGGCTGCATGAATCTCTATAAAATTTGGCATAGATGTAGAACATAGTCTGGAAGAACACATAGGCTATTAAATAATTTGTTTTTATTCCGCGCGGACAGAAACTTTGTTAGTAAATAAAGTATAAATAGATACGAGTTTTAAGCCATTTTCTTAGTTTAGTTCTTTTTTTAAGTTGGAAGTTTTGTAAAATCATAGATTTTTTTGCAGTCTGTACTATTATTAAGTCACTCTCTCAACGCACATTTCTTTATCCTTCCTTTATCTAAAGTTACGTAGAGTTATTTTATTAAGGGAAATAAAATATCTACTTATATGCTTATTCTACTTTATTTTACGCATAAAAAATGTAGTTGAGAAAACATAACCTACATTGATTGTGAATTCCACCTAAATTTGCCGAAATAGCGAAGCGACCGCTGCCAATTGACATTTGCAACAGATTGCCTTTTATCGATGAAGGAACACAGAGTTTCCCTAACTATGCGTCCCCTTCTCTGTCAAATCGACTAACCCTTCCCTTTCTTTCTAATAAGAAAAGATGCATACATTATTTTGGTCATAACACCCTAAGCGTGGGTTTCCGAGACCAAAATTCTCGTTAGAACATATTGAAGGATGACGATGTATTTTATACAAAAAATTTGGGTTTCAGAAACCAATGATAAGTCACATTTATGTTTGCCTTTTGAGTTATTATAACAAATTATGTTTCTTAATTTATTTTTTACCTTACAAGGATAAGGCACTCATAAAAATATCCTAAATATAACGCGGTCATTGATATTCATAAATTGAATAAGGAAGCAAAAAAACACTGAATATAATTTTGACATGCACTTTTGTAAAGTACGAGCGATTCATCTGGCCTCGTGAGATGTGTTGTGCTTAATTTTACGTTAAATTTATGTCATAGAAAATGACATAAAATAGGAGAAGACAATTCCAAAGGATTGTTATACTTTTAACAATGACAGACGACTTGTTATTTGGTTTACTTAAAACTTAGTAAAGCAATTTCATCTTACTAATATTATAAATGCAAAATTTTAGATGGATGTGTTTTAGAACGTACACGTACAGCGTGGTTGACTATGGCCTAATCACCCTTAACTTTGCGTAGGCTCCGAGCCCCTCGGTGGGGACGTATAGTGAGCTGATGATGAAGTTTAATGTGGTCTCACTGGTCGAACAATGACGTCCATCTTATTCTCTTCGATAAAACAAAGATCACATAGGTACATTTGATTGGTACAGTAATTTTTGGGGTCATTATGGTCCGAAAAACCCCGTATCAAAGTTTCTAAGCTCAGCAAACGTCATGATGACGTATAAGTCGTTAACATACGTATATTGATTTCCCGCGCTCACACACGCGCAGTAGAGGCCAGCGGGTAGGGTGACTATGTTATGAGTATCAAATTAGGATAGCTTTAAGTTTAAAGCTTGTATTAAGTTTATTTGTAAATAGAAATAGTGGTTCACTGTTGAATTACAGGTGGTTCAGTGTATACTACCTATAGTACACAGTGAGCCAATTTTCTTTTTTTTTAAACTTGATTTACGGTCTTTATTCGTTTCTCTGGCTTTCTATAAACTGAATATAAGAAACTCTATTAAATTGCCTAAACCATGACACCAAAACGAAATTCTTAACTTTAATTTCTAACAAGTTACATGACTTAGAAAAAAGGTTGGTTCACTGTTCAACAAGGCACCCTACTACTAATTCGACGACGGACGAATGCGTGTATATATACTTTTGAAAACGAAAGCGTATAAAAGTTTTTGAAGCTTTATAATGTACACGTATTTATGGAGCTGACTGTACTCTTTCCTCTTTCTCTATTCTTGATAGACATAATTAATAAATTTTTAAATACATTTATGCAGAGGCAAGAAGGATTATAGAGCCTTACTAACGGTCGCCCACAACTCTGTCCGCGCGGAAAAAGATTAATAGCCTATGTGTTAATCCTGACAATGTTCTATATGTATGCCAAATTTCATCGAGATTCGTCGAGCAGTTCTGTAGATACCATCAATCAAACATTCATCCATCTAAACATTCGCATTTATATTATAGTATAGTTATAATATTAGTAAGATTCCCTCCCCATAATGTTCATATTAGACTGTCCTTAAGATTGAGAAATGTTTGGTGAACGCAATAGCACGTACAAAAATCATCTGTTGGACTCGATATCGCTCAGTCAGCCATAACACCAAGACGCGACAGCGCGTCACATCGGCCATCTTTATTTTTGTTTGTTTCTTGCTTTTTAACAAATATATTTTAACAAGTACGTATTAAATAAGATTTATTAATTGTTTTAAATTCGATGTGTGCAAATGTATCGTGCGATGTGTTTATAGTGAAATAAATAACAGTAAGTCGGCAAATATAAACAAAACATTCGATAATCCTTGCGCAGTAAACTCGGTTTTACTAAAAAAAAATAGTTCAGTTTTAATTAATTGAGATAACAGAGGGTTTCTAAGACTAAAATCTCGGGTAAAAACATATTTTTAACTATGGGTTTTCAAAGATAATGACTATATGTTTTATACAGAGATTTTGGTGTCAAAAATTAACGTTAAATTAGGCGTTTTATTTATTCATACTGCAGATACTAAATTGACTATCAGTCATCAAAATACGTGTTCATTTATTAACCAAATGATACACGAGATTCTTGTATGTAAGTTTTTATGTATATCGGTTAGTATAAAAGATCTATTGCGATTTGTAACCTAAATTAATGAACCGATTTTGACAACTAAGGTCTCATTCGATTCGTTTTATTTCCCGGAGTATTTTAGTTCTGTCGAGTTTTTTGAGTTTATAAAAATTAACAACCAGTTATTGTCCTTGAAAACGAAAAGTTACTTTGACTTATAAGTAAACAATTTAAATATTATAATTTTAATGTATCGTGTCAAGTTGCTGATTTACAAGGTTTAAATTATTTGAAAAGCTGTATTTACTAGCGATCGGCCGCGACTTTGTCAGCGCAGAAAAAAATATATAATACGCCCGCGTTCATCTGTCTGCACGTTAAAGTCCTGTCAAAATCGGTCGAGACGTTCCGGAGATCACACAGAACAAACATCCAGGCAAAAATTTTAAAAATTAATTTTTCGTTATTACGCAAATACATTAGGCAATTTGTTTTTTTTTTCTCTGTTACATACAGACATTCCAATTTTATTGATATAAATTATTTACGATTCCAATTAAATTTGAGATTAATGACAGTGACATTTCACTTTCCCGCCATATATCTTATCGATCGATCTATTTAGCAACAAAACGACTTTAGGTTTCTAAATAGATTCTAGACTTTGCTGCGATAATTTGAATAACGGTTACAAAAGTTACGGTAATGATTTTTCAGTTGTCTTTGGTAATTTTCATTTACTTATCTGGCAACATTTAAAACAGTTTATATTATCTTTGGCTGCTGTGATTCTAATTTTCAAAGTTTTGATCGCTTCCAAATATTTGTAAACGTAGTTGTTTTTTTTACAATGATCTGAGTCGTAATAACTGATTGTTTTACAGTTCTATTGATTTTATTTCTTACTAGCTGTCGTGCACGACTTCGTCCACGCTGAAAAAAAATCTTAATGAGCTTACATGGTCTTCCAGACTATGTTCTACATCTGTGCCAAATTTCATCGAGGTCTGTTGAGCCGTTATGGAGATACCTTCTAACAAACATCCATACATCTAAACTTTCGCATTTATAATATTAGTAACGTATCGAAAACTAATGTTTAGTTTGTATTTTACCTTTGTAATAGCAAAATCTAAATAGTTTGGTTTTATATATATTTTTTTTATATTTAAATGCTTTTGGCGTTGATTGTACTTAACCAAAGTAAAGGACACGCGTTCACTTTTGTAGAAGCAAGGACATTTCTGTCTTAATCGAGGTATTATGTTACATTACATTCAAAAGTAATCCATTGCGTTCACAAATACTTATTTACTGCCACACATAGTATTTAATTGGTTACTAAGGGAGACATTAAGTGGGAGATTTAGTTTAATTAATTTCGTTTTAGATGTGTTAAGTTCGTTTAACCTTGCCAAAGCTTATGAGTATGTTTTAGAGTCTAGGTAAATCAGAATTTTTCACATTAAGGTTATGTGTCTCTGTTAGTTTGTGTCAAATTTAGTAATTTAAATGACACCATTTGATAGATTGATTTGAAAATTGGTATACATCTTACTAATATAAATGAGAATGTATGGATGGATGTTTGTTAAAAGATATCTCAAGAACAGCTCCATGAATCTCGTTGAAATTTGGCATAGATGTAGAACATAGTCAGGAAGATCACATAGGCTACTAATTAAGTTTTTTTTTTTATTTCCAGCGATAGCTAGTACTTGATATACATATCGTATCTTAATTTTTATGTTTGAAATAAAATTATCACAGGTAAATAATATCTAGAGATAAAAATCACGTTTATGGTAAAGTAAACAATGACTCATAGTGTAATGCCAGTGTTGCCATGTTTAATTACTAACAATTATAGTAGAAAAAAATGTTTAATAAAATAGTACAATCAAGTTAAAAATTGTTTGATTTAAATTTATTAGGCAATAAGCGTAAAAAATTAATGAGAGAAATTAAAAAAAAAACTGTAGACTAACTGGTAAAAAAGGAGACACGATTTAAATAGTTTTATAGATAAATTATGTAATTATAAATACATAAATATTAATCAATTGTATTAAGTAATTATTATACTATTAAAAAAAACATATCCACGCTTAACTAGCGATCGCCCGCGACTTATCCGCGCAGAAAAAAAGTGTTCTATAATAAGCCCGCGAGTATTAGCTAACTTCCCGCCAAAGTCCTGTCAAAATCAGCCCACTTGTTAGGGATTATCCGTAACAAACGCAACCTTCCGGATAGACATACAGACGGGCAAATTTTTTTAAAGATTTTTCGTTCTGAGCTACACAAATACATTGTTTAAACGAAATATATTTTTTCGATGTTACATACAGACACACCAATTTTATTTATATGTATAGATAGATAATTGTAAACAGTGGAAAAGTTAACAGGTTACGCAACTTTATAGCTATATTAAACGTTCTGATTATTAAAATCATTTTACATATTAATCAAAAATGTTAATTTAATATAAATATTAAAGTTTTAAATTAATGTGATACGTTTTTGGAGTTTTATGAGAGCTCTTGATTTTATTGAGTCTAATATTAGCTGTCGCCCGCGACACTATCCGTGCGGGATTAAATAGAAACTTAATAAGTAGTCTATGTGTTCTACCAGACTATGTTCTACATCTATGCCAAATTTCAGCGAGATCTATGCAGCCGGTCCGGAGATATCTTCAAACAAACATCCATCTATACATTTGCATTTATAATATTAGTAAGAAGTAAGATATCTTTTGTCGTAATAGGGCTTTTCGTAGACGAGAAACATAAATCTTCCAAGGTTTCCCTAATATTGAGTAAATCACGCTCCGAACAAAACGTTCAATCGTCGACGCGATTCGGTCAGTAGAGGCATAGAGATGTCAACTGTATAGATTTGTTCCGCCATCTTGAAAATTGCAATGACATTTCTCACGACGATTTTGACGCGAAGCGACTGTCTTTGGTATCGAATAAACAAAATCTCGGCGATGCATGTTAACGTACCTCTTTGATATTACAATAATTAAGTTGCTAAGCGACTAAAATCGCCGGGATTATTTAGGTAGCCTTGTGTTAGAAGAGATTTAGTACGTTTGGATTGAGTCAAATATTTAATTGAAACGGAATCCTTGACTGTATTTAACGTGTTTAGTCCTTCTTAGAACGTAGTTAATTATCTAACAATGTCCATTATGTACATACCTATCTTCCATGTTACACAATCTTTCGTAATAGTATTTCAATTTTAGGGTTCCGTTTCCTCAACGTCGGAAGACTACGACAGTTTTTTTTCTAGATTATTTTGTTAAACATATAAAAATGTTTATTCGTTTTTTTAATGTCTATTTATTACTAACTGGCTGACGCTCGCGAATTCTGTGCGGTATTAAAAACAAATAATTAGTAGTCTACGTTCTTCCAGACTGTTCTACATCTATGCCAAATTTCCGCGGTTCTGGAGATATCTTTTAAGAAATATCCATTTATAATAATAGTCAGATGTCATTACTTTATTACTTTTTAATCTCTTATTTAATATTACTCCGATTTAGATATTTTAATTATAGAATTACGTTTAGTAAATCCATTTATTCCACGTATTTAAATTTAATTTATACGGAATCCAAAAAACATAAAACGTTAGTTTACAAAACTTGATATGTTTGGAATTTTAATAATATTCAAATAGCGTACTAGATTTGTTTAGAGACGTTTTATTGTAATAAACGAAAGTGAACCACTTTCCTTGTACCAAATAACTTTCTAAGATTTTTTTAATAAATTATTATAAAAAGGATCTTTTGTCATCCAATTAGTCTTGTTTATAGCACTAGCTGTCGCCCGCGCCATCCGCACGGAATAAAAAAAACATAATAAGAGGCATATATGTTCTTACGGCTATCTTCTATATATGTGCCAAATTTAATCGAAATCCGTTCAACCGTTCTGTACATACCTTCTAACAAACAACCATCCATCTAAGCATTCGCATTTTTAATATTAGTAAGATAAGACGTCGACCCCGACTTAAAACACTCAATAAGTAGCCTATGCGTTCTTCCAGATTATGTTCTATATGTATACCAAATTTCGTCAAGATCCGTTAAGCCGTTCTGGAGATTTCCTTTTAACAAACATCCATCCATTCAAATATTCATATTTATAATATTAGTAAGATTAATTTATAATTATTATACATGTTTTTAACAGTGAAAATCCCTTCTAACATTGTTCCTTGACACACGGAAGTGACACGACCTTACTTTAGATAGCTCTATCATAGACAAGGCAATAATAATAATAAAAATAACCAGTTCAAATCGTTTACAATGTATCATATCTTACTAATATTATAAATACGAAAGTTTATATGGATGTTTGTTAGAATGTATCTTCAGAACAGCTGCATAGATCTTGATGAAATTTGTCATAGATGTAGAACATAGTCTGGAAGAACACATAGGCAACTTTTTTTTAAATTACGCACGGACGGAATCACGGGTGACAGTTAGTTATAGATAAAAATTTTACGATTCCTTTTGGTGAAACAACGAGTTAAGTTGTTTTTCTTCCCAATAAATATAAGTTTAATCACGCGACTTTATTTGCATTGGTTTTTTAACCAATTTTTTTTTGATCTAAAATTCTTTTAACGTATTAATTTTAAGTTAAATCAGTTAAGTAATGATATATTTTTCAAATACAAAAACATACTTAAACTTCCAAGTTTAAGTAAGTTTAAGTACAATTTTAAACTTATTAGAAACCTTGCGTGTGATCTATTTATTATTAATAAACGATTAACCTTCGTTATAACCAGGACCTTAACTTACAAATGTTTGACATTTCCGATTGCTTAAGGCTAGCTAGGTACTTTATCAAATACATATAATATAAATTCAAAAGGTTATTTATCAAGTTCACAATCTAACTGTTAAATTTAACTGCGAGTATAATATTAATACAGAAGAGTAATCTCTATCTTGTAAAAAGAAATCTTACTAATATTATAAATGCGAATGTTTAGATGGATGTCTGTCAGAAGATATCTACAGAACGGCTGTATGGATCGCGATGAAATTTGGCATAGATGTAGAACATAGTCTGGAAGAACATATATGCAACTAATAGAGTTTATTATTTATTCCGCGTAGACGTAGTCGCGGGCGACAGCTATTATGTAATAACACTAATTTCGATGCAGTGGAATACTACTGTAAATTTACAATTCCATGGAAAAATAACCTTTTGAATTATATTATGAATTTTAACCTGAAAAATATTCTGTATATTTTTTCTGAAAGTATATTACAAATTAATATATACAAGCAAATTTTGTCTGTGCGAATATAACTCAAGATTCTTTGTTCTGTAAAATTAGACTTTTGGCAGTTACTTAAGTTTACGTAGGGACCGATGAACATCACGTCTCGTCTTTGTTGCGTTTGTTATTTAACGATGTTACATTTAATTGTTTATCCAATTAATAACTAATTTTCTTTGCTATCGGAAGTAAAACGTGCGTTAATAACTAGAGTTAATCTTAGTACTAAGACATTGTAGTGAGCTTTGATAACCTTCTTTGGGTCAAAGAGGTTAACAAATTGCCGTTCACTCACTTTAGTATGAAGCCGACATTCGCACACATCGAACGTTTAATTTTAAAAATAAAATTTTAATTTATATTAAAAAAATAAATTTCAGTTCAAAAATTAATGCCAATTTAAAATGGCGACAGTGAACGGTAAAGATTTAAATATGGAACAACCAGCGGTGCCGCCATCTTCGTTAATCAGACGCGTCAGTTCGCGTTCGATTCGAAATTCAATTTCAGAAGACAAAGAAAATGGCGTCGATAATAATACGAAGGGTTCCTTCGTCAGCAAATATAAAAAAGCACCAGAAGCATTTAAGAGTTTCCATATAAATGATGTCGAAAATGAATTAGAAGTACCCGGCACACCAATGACACCGCGGACATCGACAACACCTGGTTTGTTTTTTTTTATAATTAATTAAGGCAAAGGAATCTTGGTACTTCAGCCAAATTTTTGTTACGTAATTTTTATATATTTTTATTTATAAAAATATACATTTATTTTGCTGCTTTTAATTGTTAGAAATTGGTATTTTACAATTTTTTTAATTTTATTTTATTACATGCTTTGTTTTTAAAGTTCACAATTATAAGCATATTTTTATTATACATTATTAACTATAATATATTTTGTACATTTTAGCACGTAATAAAATGTTAAATGTTAAAAAAAATCCAACACTGGCGATTTAAAAACAAAATTTTACGATTTAAATAAATCCAAATTACATGACCGTGGCAATTACCCGAATTACAAGGGTAATATTTTCATAAGTTAATACCTTACAAATTGTCGCCCGCGACTCCGCCCACTCGGAGTTAAAGAAAAAACTAGTAGCCTGTGTTCTTCCAGAGTTTATTCTACACTTATGCCAATTTTGAGCGAGATCCATGCAGTCATCCCTGAGATGCTTTCTAACAAACATACATCCAAACATTCGCATTTATAATATTAGTAAGATTTATGACCTATGCCTGTTGTTTTTAAATAAAATGCTTTATATATTAAATATATAAGACCGACAAGGAAATATAATATATACGATAAAAAATACATAAACAAGTGCAACATTGACCTATTTATACAAAAAAAATTAAAAGATAACTTAATTAAAAATGCATAATGAACAGATTAAAAATTTCGTAGTAAAAAAACAATTTAGCACAAACATGTTTCGTGTACAAAGGTAATTAACCTCAACCTTTTTAATCGAAAAGATAAAGACGTGACTGCACACAAAACGCATTGTTTAAAGATTCTGTATATCCGTTTGATTATCATTTTACCCATACATCCATACATCCTTCCATACATTTGATATTGTTGCAACATAATAAAAACGTTTAAATACATTTTTATAACACAATTTTTTAATTGTTTCAACAATTAATTGAGTCTCTTATTAACGATTTAACTCATTAAACAACAGACTACCAAAATAAAATACTCGTTGTCGCCCGCGACTCCGTCCGCGCGGAATAAAAAATCTTAGTACCTAGTCTATCTGTGTCAAATTACAACGAGATCCATTGGGCAGTTGTAGAGATATCTTCTTACAAACATTCACATTTGTAATATTAGTAAGAAGTATTTGGTAGGGTGAAATGGTTAAAGGTGATATTGTTTTATTGTGTAAGTGTGAACGTAATTGAAGATGTAGGGGTCCGTAGGGTTGCCATTATTTAAAAAATGTTAACACGAAAACCGTAAATAAATCAGTGAACAACCCTTGAATATTGATCTTTAGCTACGAAAAGATAAAAAAAAACTGACATCTGGTGATTTTTATGGCTGATTGTTTAGTTGTTAACCATCCACCCAAAGATAGTCGTGTCTCATCCGTATGCATGCAAACTGAAATACTTTGGTTTAATCAGAAATGTTGGCAACCCTAGATCTATGACATCTAGGATTCAATTGAGGATATTGCATAGTTACAGGGTGTTGGTATTAAAATTTAAGAAAACAATAACATTACTTTGGGATTTTATATCATCCCGGTTCTGTATGTGTTGAATATCCAGTGTGTGACCTTTTGTAATCTTCACGACTGAATTAATTTTCACGAGTGAGGTATAAAAAAAGCCTCGATGGCTCAGGGGTAACTTGATTGTAATCTGCAGATCCTAGGTTCTAATCCCGCTATGTACCAATGTTTTTTTTGGATTTCGTTTTACATTTAACATATGTACATTTATCCGTTGTTCTTCCGGTGAAAGAAAACATCGTGATGCTGCACATAGATATGTGCAGCATCGCAGATGCGAAGAAATTTTAAAGATGTGTGAAGTCAACCCGCACTGGTCCAGCTTAATTGACTATGGCCTAGTCAACGTATACGACGTATAGTGAGCTGATGGTGTAATTCGATTCGTATTCTTACTCTGAGTGTCTACAATCAGTCTGATTTAGCGTTTTTTTTATTAACTAATTGTCTATGAACTTAATAACACTAGGTTTTTATTTTGTTCCCAGGTCATGAGAACTGCACATTCCACCATGATTTGGAGCTGGACCACAGACCGCCTACCAGAGAGGCTCTCTTACCCGACATGGCTAATTCCTACAGACTTTTACTCACAGGTATGTTAAACATTGATATAATCTGCATTTGCATAAACAAACATCTAGGTCTTTAAAGGCCGTAGTTGTAGAATTAGCTTCATAAATCCTAGTGCATCATGACCATAAAGAAGACATCAAATAAGTCTAAAGTATAAATAAGCCCGAGACCAATTTTAGTCCTCTTCCAAGGGGAAGGCCTAGATTTTATAATAGACTAGCCGTTGCCCGTGACTCCATTTGCGCGGAATTAAAAAATAACATAATTAGTAGTCTAGTTCCACACTATGCTCTACATCTGTGCCACATTTCATCAAAATCTGTTCAGCCGTTACGGAGATACCTTCAGAAATCCATCCATCTATCGTAGGGGAACGCGTGGTGGAAAGACAATGAATACTCTTGTAGCATTCGTTGCGTAATATTTGGCTTGTTCACTTACCGACACGTGTTCCCGGTCCAAAAGCCCGACATCGAACGTCCCCTCTCTCCGGCATGTACTTATGACGTGTTCGCTCGAGACAAACAACTCCACGTTTATGCTTATACTACAACATTTAAATTTTTTGGGGCCTATATTTAGCGTTTACTTAAAAAATATAGTAATTAATTAGATTTTTTTTATATTTTCAGGTTTGGGTGAGGATCCAGAGAGACAGGGTCTCCTGAAGACACCAGAAAGAGCAGCAAAGGCTATGCTGTTCTTTACAAAAGGATATGACCAAAGCTTGGAAGGTAATATTCACACTTTTTGCTAGTAAACTATTTTGTTAAATATGAATAAATCCGATCATTTTTACAATGGCATTAATCAAGTTAAAAAAGGTTCTCGACAGACAGACGGACGGACAACAAATTGATTTTATAAGTAGTCCATTTTTTTCCTTTGATATACGGAACCCTAAAAAATCTTTTAATATCAACTTTAAATATATTAGAAATTAAATTATTAAACAGAACTAATTCTTTGTTTTTATTTCATCGTACATTATTTTCAAAATGATATAAAAAAAATCGTTATATATTTAATAAGTAAAAAAGTGTCGTCAGTTAATCCGGAAGGCTCGTTACACGTCAAATGGAGTTGTGAAAATCGATCCATTACAACTGAGTACAAATACGTTTTTCTTCTATTCCAGAGGTCCTAAACAATGCTATATTTGATGAAGATACAGATGAGATGGTGGTTGTTAAGGACATTGAAATGTTTTCTATGTGTGAACATCATTTGGTGCCGTTCTATGGCAAAGTTTCCATCGGGTATCTGCCTCAAGGCAAAATACTTGGCCTCAGCAAGCTCGCAAGGTAACTATTCTTATTATGACTAAGTGTGAAAATTTTACTAGCTGTCGCACGCGGCTCCGTCGACACAATAGGTAGCTGTTTCAGACCTACTGAATGTTACTAATATTATAAATGCGAATGTTTAGATGGATGGATGTTTGGAAAAAATCTCCAGAACAGCTGTATGGATCTTGATGAAATTTGTCATACATATAGAACATAGTCTGGAGGAACACATAGGCTGCTAATTTTAAATTATTTAAACTTTCGTGAGACATTATACTAAACTGATATAAAAACGGCTAAACACTCACGAATATACGTGAGTGTTTAGCCGTGTTTATATCAGTTTGCTACTAATTTTGTTCAAAATTCGAGGCGGACGGTGTAATAATATTGCTTTTAAATTTTCTTTACAGAATCGTAGAGATTTTCTCTCGACGCCTACAAGTGCAGGAACGTCTTACAAAACAGATTGCTATAGCTGTCACTCAGGCGGTCAGACCTGCAGGTGTCGCTGTTGTTATTGAAGGAGTGTAAGTCATTAATTTATTATTTTAGGAAGAAAATCCGACACTGCCGGTGTATCGCAACACTAGACTTATTAAAATGTCAACGTTTATGTCCCCTCAGTAATCTTTCTGACACTTGACTTTGTAATAAAAGCCATTCGCGTCAAATGATTTTAACTAATAATGGCTATATAAAAAGCTTTAGTAAGTTGTATGGATTGTACAAAAGATGTATGAAAAAGTAGTACTATGTATAAGGGGTAAAGCCATGAATATGATTGAAGGAAATACTTAAAGATACCTTCCCATACAGGATAGGTTTTAGCATTTCTGGCACTCTGGACAACATTTTTGCCGGGGAAATATTCCAAAGAAATCTTAGGCACCGTAGGCGCCCCTTTAAAGCTATAAACACATTGGTACATGACGGGATTCGAAGCAAAAACTTGCAGATTACAACTCAAGTGCTTTAACCCATGAACTAGACGATCTAGATAGTATTTTTAATTAATTAATTTGTAATTTTTTCAGACATATGTGTATGGTGATGCGCGGAGTTCAGAAAATAAACAGTAAGACGGTGACATCTACCATGCTGGGAGTCTTCAGAGATGACCCGAAGACCAGGGAAGAGTTCCTTAATCTGGTACACTCCAAATAAGACCGGCGATAGAATTTTTATTATTTTAATTTTAATCAAAGAAATGTTATAAAATGAAGATTTTATTATCTTACTCTCTTAAAAAAACTATTGGTCTCAGCGTAATGTTATATAGCCTAAAGCCTTCCTCTATAAATGGACTATCCAGCAAAGAAAGAATTTTTCAAATCGGACCAGTAGTTCCTGAGATTAGCGCGTACAAACAAACAGACAAACTCTTCTGCTTTAGAATATTAATATAGATTATTTAACAAAATTATTTTCTCTTTGAAATATGTCTCGTGTTATTTTTATTCTTAATTTAATTTTTAAATAAAATTCTAAATTTGAATAATAATTTAATTTGAAAAATCTTTTAAATTATAACATTTCTTTGATTCTACATATTTTGTGTTCGTAATTTTATTGAATAATAATAAAAAAAAACATATTTTATTTCTTAATTTGCTATTTGCAAATTGTAAATTAATTTTCCACTTTTATTTTATAGCGTACAAATATTTTAATTATAAATATATTTTTTCGTAATCATTTTTTTTTGTTTATTTTCGTATGAAAATTAACTTTTTTAATTGTACAAGTAAGAAATACAGAGTCTAAAATTATTTATTTAATTAATTTCCGAAAAATGAAAAGTATATTTAATTGTTTTTTTATAACGCTATTAAAATTTTAAAAAAATATTCAGATGCTTACAATGGAATATTCTGGAATTTTCGAAAGGTTATTTTTACAATAATCTACGTATATTTTTAACGTAATAAATAAATAAAAACGTTCCTTTACGTTAATATTTTTTAAACTGCCCTTCGTTAGTGTATTTTAATTTGTATAAGTTTATATTTGATATGAAAATTATACGTTTTATTTTAGACAATAATAGCAGTTAGTTTTATTATATCGAGAAATTAGATGATGTAATTGCCCACGTCATTGTATTTTTCGATATTTGTTAAATTTTTTTAGTACAAAAGAAAAATTCTTAGTAAAAGTTGCCTGTTGTAAAAATGTCGAACATATTATGGCTGATGTTCGACATTTTTGCTATTTTTTTTTGATAATATTGGTTTATATTGCCCGGACCAATATTAATGGTTGCCTTATTGCGATTATACGATTTTTTTATATGTTTAATGTTATACAGATTGTATAATGGATACATATTTTATTTTATAAATAAAGGTTTATATTTTTAAGTTAAACGGTTTTTTTATTTGTAACCCCCAATTCATCATCATCAGCTCACTATACGTCACCACCGAGAGGCTCGGAGCCTACCCTAAGTTAAGGGTGATTAGACCATAGTCAACCACGCTGGCCAAGTGCGGGTTGACTTCACACATATCTTTGAATTTCTTCTCAGATATGTGCAGCATCACGATGTTTTCCTTCACCGTAAGAACGTCGGATAAATGTAGGTAAATCGGAAATAGAAAAACATTGGTACATGGATTCGAACCCAGTACCTGCAGATTGCAAGACATGTGCTCGACCCCTGAAACACCGATGCTCTTGGTTGGCTCTCTCAACACCATATTATTACGCCTAAATAAATACAATTTAAAATGAATTGTAGTTATTTAAAAGTTAATTATAATTAAATAATAAAATACAAACAATTTAAAAAAATAATTTATGACAAATTTTTTATTTTACACAATAAAAAATAAGTATAAAAAATATACTAATTCAAAACAGTCGCTCTATTATCAGAACCATCAACTAAATAATATTCTAGCTTTCTGAGAGTCTTAAACTTGGGAAATAAACATCTGTACACCTCCTTCGATGGTTCCTCACCATTCCAATAGCCTAGTTCTTTCAATGGTTCCTTCTGTTGTTCAATAATATTATATCTATATATTTTCTTATTATATGAATAAAATTGAAATATTCCTGCTTCCATAGCGTATGCTGTTGGCCTTGCATCTGTTTCAATTTGAAAACGTGTCTTTTCGCACGTCCCATTGGAATAAATCCAATAAAACTGATTGTCACAAAGTACTAAAGCGCTGTCTTTTATCATAGTTGGAGGTTTAATAAGTTTAAAATATTCAGCTTTTTCTGGGAAACCTTCTATTTTTTTAATACTACTGTTGTTATATACAAAAATTTCTTTATCTTTCGTTATGTAATATAAATTATTTTTCATATCTAATACCATTTCTTGTGCGTCAACAACTTCATTGATTTTTATGACTTTATTTCCTTTTTCTGTCACTTTGAATAATTCATTATCTTTATTTAGATAATAAATAGCATCTGTACCATTTTCTTTTACTATAGATATCACATTATCTGTTACATTACCATATGCTTCAGCTTTAATTCGTAAATTATTGTAAATGTAAATACCATTTTCTGTACCAAAGAAAACATTCTGACTATCATCCGCACTGGCAGCAGCATCTCGACCATTGTCCAATAATTTCGATACATTACCATTTTTCAATACAAATAATCCTTTATCAATTCTCTCACCATTTTTAATATCAGCTTCAACAAAAAATATAACTAGTTTTTTATGATAATCATCAATATTATTCATTTCATCTTTGTCATCAAAATTAATCGAATTTGTTGGCACTAATATATTAACTATATCATGTTCACTTTGGTACACTATTAAACGATCTTGGAAATAATCTTTATGGATTAATGTATCTTCAATAGGAATAGCAGCCACCACTCCAATAACAAAGATAAGTAATTTTACTGTAATAGAATTTATAGTTACTGAGGACATGTTTATGTGTTTATTTTAATACTTAAACTAAAAGTAAAGGAGACAAAGCACGTGAATTCGTGTGGCTGAGCGGCGATACACAACTTCACTCGCTGGTTTTATCCGGCCGCCGAATGGAGTTGTGTCGCATTAAATATATAAAATTTAAACCTGTTTGTCCAAGTGATAGATAAATAAAAAGGTACACTGCAGGTTCTTAAAGTAAGGTAAAACTTTAGTCCCGCTACTTTTGACGTAACTTTGACAGTTTTTTTTTTAATAAATGGCCAAAGGCTTTATCTTATACAGTCTCACCTCATGTATGTTATCATAAATTGGTTAAAAAAATAAGTAATAACAAATATCTAGTTGTATGAGTATGTATGAGATGAAATAGATAGTATGAGTATCTAGTATATTTTGAATTTAAAGGACAGAAGATAAGATTTAAAAATATCATATCTATTTTAAATATTTTTTAAATAAAAAGTAAATAATTTTGGCCTTATTTTTGTAGAATGGAATGCAACGAAAATTATTATTTATTTAGGTCAAAGAGTAATTGATGTACTTAAAACATCTGTTTGCATTTATTGTAATTATGAATACTTCACTGTCCAAATTTTGGTAATAAAAATAAAAAAAGAATGCAAGCAACATCACGGGTAATAACTTGTTAAAATCAAAACTGGTTATATGTCTACGGGAAAAACAAGATGTAAAAAATAAAATGTAGTCTGCTTACTATTGACCAGTTGATGATTTTCCTTGTACAAAAGACACAATTCCTACATTCGCGACTATAGTGTGTCTATTTAAGATAGATTAGTTTGACAATTCACTAGATTTGGGTTGAGTAAAATCAATTAAGAATTTTTTCGATTTTCGACGGTTGTTCTCATAGAACTTGCAATCGAAAATTTTGTAATTATTGATTTTGAACAACAACATAAATAAATTTGTTTCTTTATATTCCTACTTTATCCTTCATAACAACGTAAAGAAATAAGACATGAAACAAAAAATTCCGGTGTTGACGCACAAAAATATTTTTTTAAATAAATTGTGCAATACATAGCCAAATAACCGCAATAAATTCAAAAAGTTATAAAATACCTAAATAATAGTGCCCATTTTTTTGTATTAATTTTATTACAAGAGCCATTTTCGATGGTTCAAGGTTATTCGTTGTGCGCGACGGTTCGACACTATAACAACCGTCCATTAAGTACAACATTAATGTTCATAGAAAGTTAATTAGATATTTTATAGGCGTCAGTTGTCAAACTATTCTATCTTAAATAGACACACTATAAATATTTTCTTTATTGTTTTTAAATTGAAACATGAATAAAAAATTAAATTGCATTTTTATTAAAACATAAGTAATGGATTAAACTAAACTAATAAATCCTAATAATGCCACAAGCTCGTCACCAAGATCTAGATATTTATTAACAACTCTGCCTAACAGTCCTTTAATACCATGAATAGATATATCAAGAACATCGAATTCATATATCTTTTTATCTTTTGCATAATAATGCATCAATCCTGCTTCCATAGCGTATGCACTTGGTTTACCATCAGGACCAAATTCTATATTGTTGAATACTTCAGCTTTACCGTTATCGTTTATTAAATATAATTTTTCATCAACAACAATTGGTACACTACCATCAGATGTTACTGGTGGTTTCAACAATTGTGCATTCGATGCAAATTCCGGTAATCCATGTATCTTTTTAATACCAACATAATTGTAAATAAATATTTGTTTATCAGAATCTAAATAATACAGATTATTATCGTAATCTAAAATTATTTGTTCAGCATTTATTATTTCGTTGATTTTCTCTTTTTTATTTCCATTTTCACTTACAACATAAACTTCTTTGTTATCAGTTAATATGTAAATTATATCGTTTTCTGTAGGTTTTTCAATGCCTACTATGTTATCAGATATTGAACCATATTTCTCAACTGAAACACTATTATCATTGTATAAATAAATACCATCTTTAGCTCCAATAAAAGCTATGTTACTTTCATCAGCTGCTGCAGCAACATCTCTACCATTATCCAATAATTTCTTAGCATTTCCATCTTTGAACACATATAATCCTTTATCTATCCATTTTCCTGTCTCATCTCTATCAGCTTCCACGAAGAAAAATAGATATTTACTATCAGCGTTGTCTCCGTAATTCAAATTATTTAAAGGTACGACTAATTTGACAATGTCATATTCTCCAGAATATACAATGTATTCTTCAGGGTATGTCTCACTGGTTATTATTAATTTATCTTTTGAAACAGGTACGGCGAATGCTACCGCCAAAATCAAGGCTAGTACTCCAAACTTCATTGTTAAATCTGGAAAATTAAACTATATTAGTAAAAACAATCTTTCTCTTAAATTATAGAACGAGTTCTTGGATACTTTGGACATATTGCCCGGAGATAAACGGGCAACCTGGACAATTGTTTACGACAATAGTCTAATGACGGGATTCGACACCTAGACCACTTGATCGGGAATCCGTACCCTGAACCATTAGGCTATTGACGCTTATGATGTAATAAGCTTAAATGTGGATGTGTGAAAGAAAGAGGATATGCGTAAGAAGGGGGTGGATTCATAGACGGCTGTTAGAGATGTATGGAGGAGTACATACTGTGCCGACCCTCAATAGGGATAAGGGCAGATTAAAAGTTATATTTTCATTTGTTACCGTTGGTTTCTGAGAAGACAAAACAATGATAAAAATATATTTCAAACGGAGATTTTAGTCTTAGAAATGTTTAATGACACGAACAGGCCTAAACTCTTGTTTGGCCAGAAATGGTTGTTAAATGGAAATAAATCTACAAACTTACTTGTGGTCCAATTAGATTTGAATGTTGATTTTTATTCTGATCCCACACTATTTATATAAATTTAAATATAAAATCAATTGATTTATAATTGATCGATTACTTTTTAAAGTAAAAAGTTATTGTAAAATAAACTCTAACACAATTGAATAAAGTCTTAAATTTATTAAATAAATACATATATTTCTAATTAATAGTAATATTAAATTAATTATTTTACAAATTAATATGTACTTACTATAGATACGACTGTTCTGATAAGCTATAGTCATTTTTTCCGTGTATTTCCACCAATGAAACATCTTAAACCACATATTGTCGTCCTTCTCACTCTAAATGAAATAAAAGAGATAAACATGTTTTTAAATTGGAAAAAATATGAATTTGACACTTTATATGTCAACAAATTTAGTAACGGTTTCCGAGATCATATCTATAAAAAATATCATTCCTGTCATTTTTTTCATTTGTCATGAGATTTTGGTCTTTGAAACCCACAGTAAGTAAGAGATAGGATGTTAACATGGTACATGATAACAGTAGTAGAGCCTGCTTTAACATCTTCGCACGAATTGTTCCGGCTCGTCCGGTGAAATACCACGACCACACAGAAGACAGGCGTAAAGTGGAAGCAATTCCGCGTGCAGTCTAATGAGTGTGCGTCCCGGAGGTCTAATTTAGTCCTCTTTCCCTTCCCACCCTTTTTTGTAAGGAAAGGATGGGAAGTGGAAGTGAACTATCCGTATGAGAGGATACATGGAAATGGACAATATTTTCTTTCTGTGCATCCTCTCCTCGGTTGATTAAAGGTAGGCAACGCGTATGCAATTGCGTATGTCTATGGGCAACGGTCACTTCGCTATTTCAGCCATTTCAGGTGACCGCTCGCTCGTTTGCCACCTTATGATATAAAAAATACGTACCCGCAAAAATAACCCTACTGTCAATCAGGCACTATAACCTCAAACTGTCATATTTAATTTCAATCAAGAAATATCATATTAGAAAAAAAAACTTTAAGAAATCACAAAGAATATGAGTTACAGATTCATTTTACTTATCTTTTATATTACAAGGGTTGAAAGTTTAGACAATCTTTATAACAGTATAATAGAAATTATGTCAAGATTTTTTTGTTAAATGTTAAGTAAATAAGGATCTTGGTATTTCCGATTCTCAGTAGTTGTTTATATAAACATATGATAAGTTTATATAACAATCTTCAAAGAGATTACATTCCGAATGTATTTAATTGGATCCATTTTTTCCCCTCCTTTCCTAACTTTCCTATAAAACTGAAATAACTTACATTAATTCGTTGAAATGTAACTTAAAACTAGTATCGACTTTGTCTTATATAACTTAATTGAAGTAATTGAAAAGATTTTTATTTGTTATTTTAATCAGAACATAAAATAAATCGAAAAAATAGAAATTTGTCTATATTCCTCAACTATGTTGTTTAGACAGTTTTAGAACATAAATTAGGCAGTAGATATTGTTACTAATATTGTCAGTATCCTGAGATTTTTTTTGTACTACGTAAAAGATCAATCTACAAAATCGTATTTACAGTAATTATTTTAGAATGGTAAGCAAATTTTTATTTATATTTTACTAACTATAATCTGTGACTCTAGACGATTGGAATTAAAAAAATAATAATAGCCTATGTGTCCTTCCGGACTATGTTCTACATCTATGCCAAATTTTATCAAAATCAATTGAGCCGTCCTGGAGATAATTTCTAACAAATATCCATCCATCTAAACTTTCTCATTTATAATATTATTAAGATGAAAATGACGTGATAAATAAGTTTACTAGTTTTATTTTTACATATGTAAAAACATAAAATACAGCCTTAATCATTCCAGAAAAAATTTTAGAATCATTCCAGTAGTTTTTGAGTTTATTAGTTACAAACATTCAAGAAGCGAGCGTATCACCATCTCAACGGCCGGCAACGCATCTGCGGTTCCTCTGGTATTGCTCATGTCCATGGGCGTCGTTGAACACCTCGGTGTTCCCGCTATTCGTTTGCCCCCTTCTGTTGTAAAAAAAAAATAAAAAAAATATAACCTCCTTACAACTCGAATCAGTAGTGACACTTATAAACATATTGTCATCTCTTTCATGCTCTTTGGGAAAAAAGAGACATGTAGTCGTCTATAGTAATATTAGATTTTTTTTTCAGATGCAATAATGCAGTTACATTCAGCTTTCGCGCTTAGTTTATTGTTAATAGCAAAAACAGAAGATTCTGATGAGATAGACAGATTGATTATCACAAATGACATCTACCCAGAACAATATAGTATATATTCTAGCAAATATGAAATTGTTAATATTATTGTGCCGTTAAATCAATTAAATTACGGTGATAATCCTGGCAACAAATATATATTTTTCTTCGTCGAAGCTGATCAAGATGATTTCGGAAGAATAATAGAAAAAGGTTTATATGTTTTTAAAGATGGCATTGCTGTTAAATTATTGGATAATGGTAGAGATGTTGCTGCAGCAGCTGATGAAAGTAATGTAGCCTTTATAGCTGCGGGTGACGGTATATATTTATATAACGATGAGAGAGTTTCAGTACATAAATATGGCAATATATCTGATAGTATTATTGGTATAGCAAAACCAACTCATAGTGATATAATTTATATATTAACTGAAGATAAAGAAGTATATATTGTTAATGGACTCGATGATAAAAAAGAAAAAGTAAATGATATAATAAACGCTGAACAAATAATATTAGATAACGAAAATAATTTATATTATTTAGATTCTGATACACAAGTTTATTTTTATGATTTTCTCAGTGTTACAAAGATCGAGGGATTACCTGATTACGCGTTTAGTGCACGACTTTTGAAACCACCGATAACAACACAAGATTTCGTACCATTTTTTGTAGATGGACAATTATATTGCATCAATACTAAGGGATACGCAGAGTTGTTTGATAAAGTTGAATTTGCAGGTAACGGTACGCCAAGTGCTTACGCTATGGAAGACGGTGTGGTCCATTATTATGCAATTAACAAAAAGATATATGAATTTGATATTTATGACATTCTACATAATGGTGCTAAAGGTCTTTTAGGGAAACTTGTAAAGAAAACTGTTGCAGATGAAATTCTCACTTTGATAGGTTTGTTAGTGTAGCTTAATCCAGTAAATACTTAATAAAATGAAATACAGACTATAAATTGATGTTTAATTTATTTCCCACTAACTGTCACCCGCGAAGCCATCCGCATGACATTAAAAAAAACTTAACAAATAGCCTATTTTACTTCCAGACTATGTTTTATGTCAAATTTCAGCGATATGTATGCAGCAGTTCTGGAGATATCTTCTAACAAACATCCATCCAAACATTCGCATTTATAATAATAGTAAAATGTACGAAAATATAAATAAAATATGGGAGTGTTTCCCGCTAAACCTATCGGCCTAGTCATCGGTGGCCTATGAGGTTTTTCCCTTTGATCTTTCCTGTCAATAGGTCCAACGGTAAACACCCACATATTTATATATTACTTGGATAGGGTATTTTAGACAGTATTAGTTAGAATCCCTTGGTGTGAATAGAGTACTTTCGTTACAAAGTCTAGTGTCAGAATGAAATAGTGAGGGGACACAAACGTCAACATTTTAGTAAGGCTAGTGTTGCGTCAATACATTGCGATATTTTCGAATTTTCTTCCTAACAAATATTAGATATGGTAAAAAAATGTTTTATTTGTTTAGTTAAAAATATATAATTTATTTTGCGATTGTAGATATCTCTTCAAATCAAACTAAATATGAATTGGATAATTTTGCATCTTTGAATATACATCGTTTATTACTGTAATTTGAATTGTCCTAACCTAAATGAAAGCTTGTAGTTACTATAATTTTTTTCAAAACGAAATGAAATCAAATATTTTTAGAAATAACCAATAAAATTCATGTGGTGTCTAGATTAACTATACTCAAGATAATCTAGATTTTACGATCCTTTTTCTTGAGTCATCTTCATAGTAAGAATGTCTAATAAATTAAATGAAAATAGGGTTTTGTATTTTTCAAAATTAAACGTCAATCTCACTAATACTAATACACAATGAAATATAGATAAATACTACCTGTCGCCCGCGACTCCGTCCGGGTGGATATAAAAAAACTGAATTAGATTATCCATCCATCCACATCACATCCATATAAACATACGCATTTATAATATTAGTAAGTTAAATAAAAAGCAGCTCTTCAAGGCATAAATTCGAAAAAATAATGAATAAATAGTATCCCGTGTCCGTCTCCTGGCTCTAAGCTACCTCCTCACCATTTTTCATCTATCGGTAAAGCCGTTCTTGAGTTATAAATAGTGTAACTAACACGACTTTCTTTTATATATATAGACTAGCTGTCGCCCACGACTCCGTTCGCGAGGGATTAAAAATAGATGTTGGCCGATTCTCAGACCTACTCAATATGCTCGCAAAATTTCTTGATAATCGGTGAAGCTGTTTCGGAGGAGTATGTGAACGAAAATTGTGACACGAGTATTTTATATATATACTAGCGGACCCGACATACGTTGTCCTGTCTACACGTCTTTAATTTGAATAAATTAATATGAAGTTAATATTTAAAAAAAAATGTGAATCTAAACCATTCCCAGATCCCCTTGAACACACACAAAAAATTTCATCAAAATCGGTCCAGTCGTTTGAGAGAAGTTCAGTGACATACACACTCACAGAAGAATTATATATAATATATAAAGATAGATGTACAAATAAAAGAAAAAAAATAAACAGTAATAAAAATAATTTATTAAATAAATTCAACATTCCCCTGATTCCCCAGAATCTAAAAGATGCATTAATTATTATGCTCGATAAACATTGTACAAAATGTTAATAACGTTCTCCATTTTGTTTATAACAGTACATTACCGTTCTACACTTAAATCTTTGTAAACATTATCTTTAGCTGTTTCAACAATAGACATGATTATCTTAGTAACATCGCTCGGCCAATGCGATACAACACCAAACATTGATTTTAATAATACTTCCATAACGTTAAATTCGTAAATCTTACCATTCAACGCTGCAACAAGATATAAAGTTGCATCAATACTGTACGCTGTAGGTCTTTCTCTGATATAAAAATCTTTCTTTTCACTTGTACCATTAGCATGAAGGATGTATAGTCCACCGTCAGCAAAAAATGGTACACATTTATCCATTATAAAAGCAGGTCTTAATAATTTTATCTCTTTGAAATTCTCACTAACGGTAGTTACATAACTTATGTAACTACCGTCATGTCTCGCTATATGCGGCATCCTATCATCACACGCGATGTAATATATATTATTTGACGTATCCAAAACGAATTCTAAAGCGCATAATATGGATTGTATCTTAATTTTAACCGTACCATTCTTTTCTATTTTATATATTTTCCTTTCTGAATTCAATATAAATATAGCATCAGTGTTATTGGCTTTTTGTAATTGTAAAATATCATCATTGTAAGGTCCATATTTTCTAGCAGATAACGTATTCCCATCGTATATATAAACACCATCTTTAGCACCGAAATATACAGATTTATCAGAACTATAATCAGCTGTTGAATCTCTACCACCTTCAAGTACTTCGTAAGCTGCTAATCCTTCGAGAACGTAAATACATGAACCTCCTTCTAATCTTGGATTTGATATTGTGAAGAATATTGACGGTATATCAACGACATCTGCTGGAACATATTTTGTATTATCAGCCGGCACTAATATACTAGTTATGTTAAATTCTGACGAGAATATAACTTGTTCTTCTCTAAATATTGATGTGTAACTATTCGGTGATCGGATTAATTCTTTTCCTTGTATTATTTGAGCAATGCAACAGGACATTGCTAGTGTCAACCACATTATATTTGAATACCTGAAAAAAAAACATATAAAAATAATTAAAAACACATCCAACAAGTAATATTTGTAAGTTAGATGTTTCCTACGACATCGCCCGCGCGGTGTTTATGTTTGTTTTCTTCCAGACTATGTTCTACGTCTATGACAGCGAGATACCTTCTAATAAACATCCATCCATCTAAACATACGCATTTAAAAACAGAACACCACCAGCTGCGGAGTCTCATGACTTAAACAACCAGTGGTCAGGGCTGCAGAGACAGGAACCTTCTCACGATGCGCGCTGTCTCTAGGATAACTGTCTTTTGTATCGGGCCCTCAATCCAACTGTTAAGCGAGAGCTTCTGCATTTATAACATTATAAAGATATTTGTTTTTAATATAATATATGTTTATATGAAATGTAATATATTAAGAATAAAGTTTATAAATGAATAAGTATATATTTGAAATAATTTGCTAATATTTTATGCTTAAATTTTTCAATCTATAGCCGAATTAGAGGAACGTCAAAATCTATACAAGGCCATTAAGTGGAATTAAAAAAGATTTTCGAATAAAAATCAGTATTGTTTAAGAACTGTCACCAGTCCGTCCTTTTATCTACGTAGAGTTGACACAGATTTACTGTTCTGAATTCATTCCCTTTTTACACAACTTAACAACATAATTACATCTAAGATTGTCTTAAATCGTTTATAGAAAGCGATACTAAAGAAAGTAAACAAAACTGAGGGATACATCCAAGTTACACAATTCTGTTGTCCAACGTGAACACGCGATGTTCATTAACGCGTGAACGAACACGTATCCATTGTGATACGATACGACATTTTTTTATATAAAAAAATACTTTGTTCTGGAACTCTCTATACAATTTAGAATCATATAAGCATACAGCAAAATACCACAAATATAAAAGGTAAGAAATGTACAAATTTAGAAGTAACGCGACTCTTAACTTCGCGCGATTCGCTGCGCAGAAGCATTAGGTTGAGAGGGGCATAGCGGGGCACGGGGGGAGGGCAGCAAGTCATGACCTTGAAACCTCCAATATATTTGAAAAGACTTATAAGAATTATGTAATCGTAATCAGCTCACTATACATCCCTACTGAGGGGCTCGGAGCCTACCCTAATTTAGGTGATTAAGCCATAGTCCATTCTGGCCCAGTGAGGAGTGACTTAACACATATCTTTGATTTTCTTCCCAGATATGTGCAGCATCACGATGTTTTCCTTCACCGTAAGAACGTCGGATAAATGTATATATGTAAATCGAAAAACACATTAGGACATAGCGAGATTCGAACCCATGACCTGTATACAAATCAAGCGCTTAACCCCTGAGCCACCGTTGTTTTTAATTATATAATATTATATATTAAATTGTCAGCATTGGAAACAGTTTCTATATAGAAATCATTCGCAGGTGACAATAAGAAAAACAAAGGCGGGACAAACGCGAACAAAAACTGTAACACTAAACATTATGCGGTTATACCACATACGTGTCATTGACCCATTTGGTGACGTCATTGAATAACCCTTTAAGCACATTTAAAAAACTATAATTTCAGTTATCTTACTAATATTATAAATGCGAATGTATAGATGGATGTTTGTTTGAAGTTATCTCCAGAACGGCTGTATGGATCACGCCGAAATTCGACATAGATGTAGGACATAGTCTGGAAGAACACATAGGCTATTAATTATGTTTTTTTTATGACAGAGTCGCGAGTGAGAGTGAAACAATAAAACTGTTATAAAATTCTGAAATTACTTTAAGACTAATGAAATGACATATGGAAATATGTAATGTAACTTCGTATTATAATCAAGCAATTTTTTTTTTTATTTTCTTACTAAAAGTTTTATCGTTAGAAAATTACAAAACTTAGTTAAATCTTAAATTAGTTTTTAAGTTAAAAAAAAAACGTAAATTTTCAATCATTATAACCGTTTGAATGAAACCTCTATTTATATATAGTAATTTTTAAATTCGTATTAGATATAAAATCAATCTTTTAATTTCTTCGTGCAATGGAAACGCACAACACTTCCTTCCTTCCTCAAACAAATTTTATATAAACGTATTAGTGCATACTTAACTCTGCAATCATCGTTGAAACAATACTGTTAATTTTAAGGAAGAACTAATTTTTTTTTGTTTATTTGGTCTATTTTAAGTGCGTTGTTCTGATTTGATAGAAGTTCGTTGCTCCCAACGATATGCCAGAAGAAACATACTGGAATAATTGTCAGTTGTAATTGTGAATTGAACACCGATACACATTGGATATCGAGCTGTTTGAACGTAAGTTTCTTTTGTCATAATAAACATGAATTAAAAAGTCAAAGAAATTAACAAAGATTTGTTAATATTATAAACTAAAAATCGACCAGCCACACTTAAACCTTGTAAGGTTTTAGGATTGCTTTCTAATCGAAATTTATTTATGTAGTCAATTCTCTTTATATTAATTGTGTTCTTTATTATTCTAGCTTGATACCTTAACGCGTACCTTAGTAAAAGAGTCTTGACAGACGGACGAACAACAAAGTAATCCTATAAGGTTTCGGTTTTTTCCTTAAAGGTACGAAACCTTAAACATTTTAACATACTTGTATAAATAAAACATATTATTTTGTAATTTTCGTACATTTATTTAGGGACAAAAGGGACACCTTTTAATATTATATTTTAGTTAATTATTCATTTTTAATTATTTATTTAATATCATTCATTAATGAAAATGTTCTTCATGTAAAATATATAACTTCAGTTTATCATTTTATATTAAATTAAATATTAATAAACGTTTCTATTTACTTTGTTAATTTCATACTTAATTTAATTATGAAATTGTTTTAATAATTACATTAAGAAACACTTATTAAATACTGTGTTAACTTTAAAATATATGGACATTTTTTTAAATATAAACTTATATTTTTTTCCAGAAATCTACAATGATACCTTTACTAATATTAACATTAATATCATCTGTGTATGCCGATAACTGTTCATATATTTTTGATGATATTCATTACACGAGAACATCTATACTGACGATAAAAGGATTACCAACTAATTTAGCTTACAACCCTAACAATAACGATATATATTTTACATTAATCGATTTAGAATCATTACATGACGATAATGTTCAAACTAAAATGGATCAATACGTATTAAGAAATGGTGAACCTATACTTATTGATAATGTAAGAGGACAAGCAGCAGCAATTGATGTTAAAAATAACAAAGTATATATCGCAAGTGATGATGGAATTGGAATTTTAAATGCAAGCAATAAAGTACAATTTTCAAATCTAAAAGATGAAGACGTTGTTTACTTGTACAAAGCTGTTAATAAAGATGAATTATATGTAGTTACATATCCTAATAACGAAGTATTCGTTGTTGATGTTAATAATAACGAGAAGAGAAGAGTTGAATATATACCTTGTGCGTTTATTCTATCAGTGGACGCTGATGATAATATATTTTACGAATGTGATTCTAAATATGTCAAAGTGTTGCTTAAAGATTTTCAAGAGCCTATTGAATTTGTTGGTATAGCTAAGAATTCGGCAAGAGCGTTAGCTATAGATGAAAGTAATAGAGTTATTTTAGCAGCTAACGATGGTTTATATTGGTTGAAACCGGATACTGTTGTACCGAAAAAGCTAATGAAATTAGAATTCGTACCATCTGGTATCGTACTTAACGATGGTGTTATATATTTAGCTACAAATGGTGTTATATATAAATATACAAACGATAATTGTGTTCCAAATATTATGGGTTAGGATAAATGAACATTTGTAATGCTACCCTTGTTCTCTTCATAGTGAATAAAAGAGATGATATCAATGCAGTGGTAATTTACAGTTAGGTTAAAATATTTATGTATTTGTAAATAAATGGAAATACAAATATTGAATGATTTTATTTTGTTTTAATTTTACTTTTTTATTCAATTATTTTGACCTATTTTCGTATTATACAAGTGAAAGATGCAGATCTAAAAGTTAAGTAGAGATCGCTAGGAATTAAAATAAGACATTAGTCGCAAAATAATGTTGCTTATAACGAAAATCCATTTTTTTTAAATTTCTGCCTATCTACCTGTCAATTTGTCCGCAAAACAATTAACCATCGATAATTAAAAAAAATATAAGTAAGTAAAAAAATAGGTCAAATTCCATACATGGCAGCCATATTTTTTTTAGTAATTATGCGAAAATTAATAAAGCGGCTGAAAATGCAAAAGCATGCAAATACAGGGGTCTAGGCTCCGAATATCATTTTGTCCCATTCAGCGTCGAGACCCTTGGTCCGTGGGGTCCTAGCTATTTAAGACTTTTTAAGGACATATCCAAAAAAATAATCGACATCACAGGGGACCGAAGATCTGGCAACTACCTCAGTCAAAGAATTAGTTTAGCTATCCAAAGGGGAACGCTGCCAAGTATCTTCGAGACCTTGCCTAAAGGGACTCCTTTTAATAATATATTTTAGTAAATTATTCGTTTTTTTTAATATTTTATTTTATATCATAGATTTAAGACTATTCGTTAGATTCTTTGTTTATTAATAAAATAAAATATGGATAGCTAATATTTATAGTTACGTAATAAAGTATTTTTTTCATTTTTTTTTGGAATTTAATGAAATTGACTCAACAAAGGTTTGAACTTCGGAGATCTAATAAACATACTTTGGGATTAACAAAATATAAATTAACTACAGTCTTTAATTAAGGGTTTGGATACTCATTGGAATTTCGGAACACGCTATAAATTCGGTCTAAGTTTTACATATAACTAGCTGTCGCCCGCGATTTCGTCCGCGCTGAATAAAATAAAATAAATTAGTAGCCTATGTGTCCTATGTTCTACATCTATGTCGAATATCAGCAAGATTCGTTAAGTTAGTGATACCTTCTACCAAACATGCAGCTAATATTAGTGAGATTTAATGAAAAATGTTACTTACCACGACCAAATATAATTTTTTTTTTGTATTATACTTACTTCTTTCTTTATGGATTACCGAACGTCTTGTGAAGTATAATAATTGTATATTGATAGTTATTCTGACAGATAATGAGGATTACATCAACGCGATCTTCATAGAATTGATTATATACAGGATGATTTTTTTTTCTTAATTTTAATAAATTCAATTAAAATTTTTGTAAGATTATATCATCGTAGAAATAGAATTGCTGAACTTAATTAGATTGTATCATAACATTTCTATAATACATCATCATCATCATCAGCTCGCTATACGTCCCCACCGAGGGGCTCGGAGCCTACCCTAGTTAAGGGTGATTAGGCCATAGTCAACCACGCTGGCCAAATGCGGATTGGTTGACTTCACACATATCTTTGAATTTCTTCTCAGATATGTGCAGCATCACGATGTTTTCCTTTACCGTAAGAACGTCGGATAAATGTACATATGTAAATCGGAAATCAAAAAACACATTGGTACATGGCGGGATTCGAACCCAGGACCTGCAGATTGCAAGTCAAGTGCTTGACCACTGAGCCACTGACGCTCTATTGTTATTAAAGTCTTTATAGAAACATAGAAAAAAGAGAAGGACGGTATTGTAAGTTTACAAATTTTATAGCTTTGTCTACGATCTTTGGTCAATAATATACATAACTATATTTTTTACTGTTTAATAAAGCTACATAAATTCGATATTGTATTTTATAATAATTGTTTTCTAAATTAAAATTTTACTAATATTATAAATGCGAATGTTTAGATGGATGGATGTTTATTTGAAGATATCTCCGAAACGGCTAAACGGATCACGATGAAATTTGTCACGGTTGTAAAACACAGTCTAGCTACATAGGCTACTTATTAAGTTTTTTAATTCCGCGCATACGGAATCACGGGCGAAAGCTAGTTAAAATATAAAATGCGATCAAGGTCAATGTTAATATAATGAAACATGCTGTATAAAGCTAGATCTAAAACAAACATCATAGATTATATTTATAAACTGTCTCTCACAATAGCAGCCGATGTTTTATAAAGTGTCTAGATAAATCGCGGGGCCACACTTCCGTGAACGATTCCCGACACAGGTGATTATTACAATTCTTGTACCAAATACATTTATCCATTTTTATTATTTTCTTTGAACACCCTGTATAACATTTTTTCTTTAACTTGTAGAACATTAAATATATTGTAGATTACAAGATATTTATTCGTTTTATCTATTTCTAATCTAGATTTTTTTAATTTGCTATCATATATAGTAGTTGCCCGCGACTTCATCCGTAAAAAATCTGATAATAACAGTAATTTCGGAGAATAACTCAAATTAGATATTTAAATACTTATTTAAGTTAATAAATGTTTGGATGTATGGATGTTTGTTAGACTATCTCTAGAAGAGCTGCATGGATATCGCTAAAATTTGGCATAATTTAGAATATAGTCTGGAAGAACACATAGGCTACTAATTAAGTTGTCCGCGAGTTACAGGCGACAGGTAATAAATATTTTTATTACTAGCTGTCGCCCGCGACTCCGTCCGCGTGGGATTAAAAATAGATATTGGTTGATTCACAGACCTACTTAATATGCTCACAAAATTTCATGAGAATCGGTGAAACCGTTTCGTAGGAGTATGGAAACGAAAATTGTGACACGAGAATTTTATATATAAGCTAAAATACCTTTTCATTTTGCAGATTTCTCATCATTTGTCATGAAGTCAAAATGTACATAGCGCAGTGGATTATCTTTTTCATAATCATCTGCACAACATCAAGTCACGATGGTGAAAAATGTGAAAAAATCAAAATAGGCTCAGAATTTTATAAAAGACAATTAGTAGCTACTATAGATGGCTATCCTACAGGATTGGTTGTGGATCCTAGAACTGAAAACATGTTCTTTCTATTACATAAAAGGAATTATACAAGGGGCATACATATATTAAGATATGGAGCTTTAGGTGTACAGGAAATACCCATTTCTGATGATTTGATAGGCCAATGCGTCGGTATTGATGTTTCCAACAATATTATATATATTGGTACAAGTCAAGGCATAACAACGTACAACAAAGACAAGAATCAAATAACATCAGAGAGACCAATTGGTGATGATGACGTTCGTAATATATTTTTCGATAAACGTGACAATTTGATGTACATAACAACAGGACCACAACATGAAATTTTTAAATTCATCAATGGTTCTGCAGCTGTTAAAAGATATGATAAAGTACCAAGGGCATATAATTTTATATTGGACGCAAATGGTAATGCTTTTTACGAATACGTTGATGGTAGATTGTATTTCTTCTCTGTAGATCTATTTGAACCTATACAATATAAAGGTTTTACAAGAGAATTGAAGTATATATTACAATTGAACAATTTCGATGAAGCTATATTAGCTGTTAAAGGTTCCCTGTACCGTTTGACTACGAATAGTATTTTCCCGGAGAAGATCGCACAATTGGGAATGAAAATAACAGCTCTTTTCTTTGATGCAAGGAATAATATTATAATTGGTACAAAGGGAAAGATTTATAGATATAAACCCGTCGATAAAAATGACCCATGCCCTCCTGATGACTACTTCATGTCTAGCATTTAAGTAACCTACAAGGCTTCAATCTTTTTAGATTATAAGTAATTTTTACTTTGGGATTGTTGTTTTATTTTCTTATATACTGAATGATATAAATAAAAATCTTATATTCTATTATGTAGATATTTTATTTTTAAAATTATTATCAAGAAGTGTTTTAATTTCTAAGTATATCTGATGAAATAAACTTACTAATATTATAAACTAGCTGTCGCCCGCGACTCCTTCCGCGTGTTTAAAAAAAACATAATTAGTGTATCCTATGTGTTCTTTCAGACTATGTTCTATACGTATACCAAATTTAATCGAGATCCGTTCAGCCGTTCTAGAGATATCTTCAAACATACATCCATCCATCTAAACATTCGCATTTATAATATTAGTAAGTTAAAAAAAAAAGTTGCTCTTCAAGGCATAAATTTAAAAAAATAATAATAAATAGTATCCTATGTCCGTCTCCTGGCTCTAAGCTACCTCCTCATGGATTTTCAGCCATATCGGTAAAGCCGTTCTTGAGTTATAAATAGTGTAACTAACACGATTTTCTTTTATATATATAAATGTGAATGTTTAGATGGATGTTTGTTTGAAGTATCTAAAGAACGGCTGTATGGATCTCACTGAAATTTGGTATAGATGTAGAACATAGTCTGGAAGAACACAAAAGCTAATTATTCCGCGCGGACAGAGTCGCGGGCGATAGCTACTATTGAATGAAAGTAAAACATTATTAATAATAATATATTATGTTTTTGTATATAGAAGACATAGATTATAAATAAAATAACGATTTATTTGGCATTAAAATTATTTGGAAGTACGCACACGGCTTCGAGATTGAGTCGACAACGAACGAATTGCGTCAGATTTAGTTTCCAAAAACTCTTTCAATTCGTCAATAACTTCTGTAAGAATCATAGCTAAGACATTGTATTCATATATCTTTTTATTATAACCGTAATATTGGAGGAGAGTTGCTTCCATACTAAAAGCCGTCGGTTTTGCATTCGATTTAAAATCGAAGTCTGTTTTTTCACTCGTTCCATTCGCATTAATGAAATAAATATCATTATCTATGATAAATGGTACAGAATCATCTATAAAGAATGGTGGTTTTAGTAAACGAACTGTTTTAGGATGTTCAGGTAGACCTTTTATTTCTTTGACCACTCCACCGTTGAAAACAAACGGTTTCAAATCATCACCGTAGTAATACAAATTGTTGGCACCATCCAAAACTATTTCACGTGCGCCTACAACTTCGTTTACTTTCTCTTTTTTATTACCAGATTCAGTCACTTTATACAAATCATAATTCTCCGTTAATATGTAGATTAAATCTGTTGAATTTTCTTTTGCAATTCCAATCACACTGTCGGTTACTGATCCGTATTTTATAGCTGTGCTATCATTTTTATTGTACACGTAAATACCGTCTTTAGCTGCAAAGAAAACATCTTTGCTATCATCGCTAGATGCTGCTGCATCTCTACCGTTGTCAAGAAGTTTCTTTGCTTTACCATCTTTAAGAACGTATAGACCTTTGTCTATTCTATTCCCAGCTTTATCTATGTCAGCTTCGACAAAGAATAATGTTATTCCATCATCATCGTTCGTATCATTGTCTTCGTCATCATCTTCGAAATTAAAAGAATTGATGGGAACTAGGATATTTACAATATCATGGTCAGCAGTGTACACTACAAATTCATCTGGGAAAAAGTCTTTTGTAATAGTGATGTGATCACTTTCACTACTTTCTTTACTCTCTTTACTTTCTTTACTTTCTTTGCTTTCTTTGCTTTCCTTTCTTTCTTTGTGATTATGCCTTGGAGCAGCTACAGCAAATCCAATTAAAAGGCATAGTGTCAGTGTTTTTATTAATCTCATTTTTGATGTCTGTAAATAAACTATTTAAATTTAATATCAGAAATATTTTACTAATATTATAAATACGAATGTTTAGATGGATGTATGTTTGAAGGTATCAATAGCTGAACGGATCTTGATAAAATTTGGTATAGTAGAACATAGTCTGGGCCGCGGACGAGAGCGAAAGCATGCCAGTGGCCCCGTCCCGATGCGTTGGAGGAACAGAGGGGTTTAGTGGGTATGCCTCCGCTATGGAGGAGAATCCCACATAACTACCGCGTCCCCGGGGCGCGGAGTATGTATAAAGCATTCCTCTCTGGAAATAAAAAAAATAGTAGAACATAGTCTGGAAGAACACGTAGGCTAATTATGTTTTTTTAATTCCGAGCGCACAGAGTAACGGACAGTAAGTCGTTGATTTATTTAAAAAAGAATAATAGAGATAAATATTATTTTCGTTCTAAATTCAAATTTGAAAAATTAAATATTAAAAATAAATAATACCATATGTTAAGACGTATACTCACCTCAATCCAGCAAGAGTTAGCACTAAATAATATGTTTTGATACTTGAAATTATATAAACTATCCAGTGTTGATAACATTAATTGACAAATGACATTCCTGACCTTATAATATTATTATTTGACATTCGAAAATAACCTTTATAACTGAACAATAAAGTCGTAAAATTAATACAAAGTACCTTCCAGAAAATAAAGTAAATTGTTGACAATAACATTATGTTTGAGATAATTTACTTGGAAACTGCAGTACTAAATAAAAATTACAATTAGACACTGTTTAGTTAAACACGTGCTTTAACCCTCTGACCGCCGGTGATATAAAAAGTCGTGGTTTCGTAATAGGGAGCAGACGAGGAGATCAGCGGAGGAACTGTTTCGTCTTGCACTTGACAGAACCAATTATTCCAATTTAGCAGTCAACCTTTAAGACTGAAGATGCACTAGAAGAAGAATATTTTGGGCGTCAACATGGTTATAAAAGACAATGTTTTATACTTAGATATCACCAAAACTGCTTTCTAGTGGAAGTTGTTTGGTTTTTATTTGTTAAAAACGCATTTCGGAAGCTTAGGCATAATCTGCTATACTAATATTATAAATGCGAATGTTTAGATGGATGCATGGATTATTAAATCTTTGTTTCTTCTTAAAAGGTATCTCCAGAATGGCGAATCGGATTGCATTTAAATTGGGCATACATGTAGAACACAATCTGAAGGAATACGTAGGACAATTGTTAGGAAGAAAATCCGATTGTGCCGGGTGTACTGGCACAACACTAGCCTTACTAAAATGTTAACGTTTATGTCCCCTCACTAATCATTCTGACACTTGACTTGGTAATGAAAGTGCGCAATTCGCGTCAAAGGATTCTAACTAATAAAGTCTAAAATTACTAAGTTTTTTTTTAATTCTGTCTGAACTAGCGGGCAGAAGCTATATTTTTATAAGATGTTTTAAAAATTAATTGGCCGCTTGTATCGCGATAAAGCTTGTTCCACGTAGTCAGTTTTAGTACAGAGCAATGTTTTTTAATAACTATTTTAATTTCATTTGTAACATTGTTACCTTTATCAGAAGAAATCTCACAATAATAATAAATTATGTTTATCTCAGCACTAAATTGTTCACCTAAATGAAGTATTTTGTTGTTTTCTTTTTATTATACTAGATGGCGTAACACGTGAACACAATAAAATAAATTTAAGTGCCATCTAGCGGCGAATAGTTATATTTTATGTGAATAAAGACTATGTAGTAGCAAAATTAAATAACTAGCTGTCGCCCGTGACTCCGTCCGCGTGGATATATAAAAACCTTAATTAGTGTAGCCCACCCATCCATCCATCCACATCACATCCATTCATTCCACAACATTCGCATTTATAATATTTGTAAATTAAATAAAAAGCAGCTCTTCAAGGCATAAATTCGAAAAAAAAAAATAGTATCCTATGTCCATCTCCTGGCCCTAAGCTACCTCCTCACCAATTTTCAGCCATATAGGTAAAGTCGTTCTTGAGTTGTAAATAGTGTAACTAACACGACTTTCTTTTATATATAAAGGTGTAAATAATATTTCATAGCATTTTCTTTTCAATGTCCTATTTAAATCGGGCGCATTTTAATGTAATAAAAAAATATAGTTTAGTTTTAAAAATTCAAAAAGGTGTTTTGGGCTCGTCCGGGATTTGAACCCGGGACCTCTCGCACCCTAAGCGAAAATCATACCCCTAGACCAACGAGCCGGTGATAGATATATCGAAATTATGTTACCAATATTCCAAATTTTACGTTTAAAAATTGCTATTATTATATTTTTATTAAGAAAAATGCAAATATATAGCGCTTTACATAAATTATCTTATACCTGTACTGAAAATTAATTTTTAATAGAATTATTGCCTTATGTTTAAATATATGCAGTTCTAATTTAACGTAATCAATTATTCCAAACTAAACTCGATGCTTTAAATTTATTTTCTTATCATTATCAAATTTTTAACAGAGCTCTTTAATTTTTAAAAAGATTAAACAGATAAAAACTACAGTCATTTTTGTTCAACACAGAATTCGGCTCTAAAGCCCCTGTTGACGCAGCATAAAATGAAATATCATTCCCGCCATTTCTTAGTCGCGTGAAACATTTTGCCGCGCAAACATGTGTCAGAATTATTAAACGTCATTTCTTGGTTTCAAGTTTTGTAAACGTTCAATAAGTGTGATTTGCCTTAATTTTGTTTATTTTGGATGTTAAAAAATTGAGTAAGTTTATTTTATTTAATTATAAATTAACCTATACTTAAACCTTTACTTATTTGCAAATAAAGTCATTATTTTAAGGATAACGGACTAAAAATGTAATTCATATTAGATTGAACTTAAATTTATCATAAATTTAAGAAAAAATTAACATAATGCAATTTCGTAAAAGTAAAACACATAAATCTATATAAAAACGTAATAATATTTAAAAATTAGTTAATATCTATACAATTACTATAATATATCATAGCAAAATATCGTTAAAAAAACATATTTCTTAAACAAGATGATATAAAATGAAAAAAACAATTTTTAAACGGAACGACTGAACGAATCTCGCTGAAATTAGGCATAGATGTAGAACATAGTTTGGAAGAACGCATAGGCTACTTATCAAGCTTTATTTTAATACCGCGCCGTCGGAGTCGCGGGGGCAAATAGTTTTTACAACAAATATCACAGCAATGGAGCTCTACTGTATACAAGTTCCTTATGTATAAGGAAGTTTGACACTCTTGATAATTGTTGAGATATGTTGTTTTCTTTGTTAAGGGAACAATGGCGGTTAATTTGATAATTATACTCTTAGAATAGATTTACGTAATTCATAATGCTAGTATATTAGTTACTACCGCTTCCTATATTATTGACATCACATTAGAAATCTCTAGTACATTTTGTTATACAGTTTTTAAGGTTATACTTTTGCAAAATTATACTTCTATGCGAATTAAATATGCGATATTAAATGCGAATGTTTAGATGAATGTGAGAAGGTATCTCTAGAACGGCTGCATGGATCTCGATAAAATTAAGAACGTAATCTGGAAGAACAAACTTATTCAAAAATTCTTGCATCGAAAGAAACTCCGGTCTTTTTTTTTAATGACCCAGTAGATTGCTATTAATTGCGCAATAATATTATAGATAACAGTAAAAAGAAATTAGTCGTGTACCATTGAACCATCTTTTTTTACATATAGATTAAAAAGTTGCGTTCAAATGAATGTCGCCTTTAAAGCGGAGCACTGCCAGTTTCCCTGACTGTACATTCAATACAAAGGTAACATTGCACATTTGGTTACAGATGACCGCTTTGCATTACGTAACAAATTGCAGGAAACGGAAGCTCATCCGATGAAACCGGAAATTAAGTTGACTATTAAGTTATAGATATGTTTTTAAGTTATGTATAAACGTTGATTAGTTTCTAGTAACCGGATGTTAATCTTTGAATACTACTTTTGGACATTATTAGCTAGAATCATTTGGCGCGAATTACGTGCGTTACGTTACAAAGTCAAGTGTCAGAATGAATAGTGAGGGGACATGAACGTTGATATTTTAGTAAGGCTAGTGTTGGGTCAATACACTGCGACATTTTCGGATTTTTCTTCTCTAACCTAACCTAACACTAGATATGTATATATTAAGTCTTTATAGAAAGATATGTAAAAAGTCCGTATACTTCGTTTGCCACTTTTTGGTTGTAAGTGTTTTGAAACTATCAAAATTAAAAAGAGTAGCCTCATTAAACAGTGGTAGAGCCCGCTTTAACATCTTCGCAAGAATTGTCCCGGCTCGCCCGGTGAAGTACCACAAGCACACAGAAGACAGGCGTCAAGTGGAAGCAGTCTGATGAGTATGCGTCCCGGAGACCTAATTTAGTCCTCTTTCCCTTAACACGCTTTTTCTTATAAGGAAAGGATGGTAAGTGGCAGTGTACTTTCCGGATTAGAGGATGCATGGAAAGAGAATATGTTTTGTTTCTGTGTATCCTCTCCTCCGTAGATTGAAGGTCACTTCGCTATATCAGCGATTTCAGGTGGCCGCTCGCTCTTTTGCCACCTTATGATATAAAAAAATGAAGAACACAAATGTATTTAATTATTTATGATCCAAACAATCTTACGTAATAGTAATTATGAACAATTAAATTTTAGGAAGTTTTAAACTAGGTTAATAGTACAGATTATAACACAATTTTTAATTGTTATTATAATTTGTAACACATATATGTTCAGACATGCAAGATTATGTAAAAATTTCACAACGCTTGCAACGGATTTGACGATCACTTCCGGATTGCGAAACGGTATCATAAATAATCTATTGCATTTTGACAACTCATGTCATAATGTCAAAGAGTATGTAACTACGAAGTAGTCAAAGAGTATGTGACTCATACTCTTTGACTGCATACATACTCTTTGATGCCAACTATGCGAAAAAATGCTGACTTTTTGAATAAGAAATAATTTTTACATTGTCATGATGTCAGTTATTCGAATAATACTATTGACATTTGCAGATAAACTTTACAAATATTAAAAATGACAATATTTGGATGGATGTTTGTTAGAAATCATCTCCAGAACAGCTGCATATATATCGGTAAAATTTGTCATAGATGTAGAACATAGTCTGGACCATACATAGGCTACGAATTAAGTTTTATTTTTGTTCCGTGCGGACGGAGTCACGGGCTACAGCTAATCTTATAAAATTATAAATGCGAATGTTTGGATGGATGGATAGACATCTATAAAAATAAGACTTTTTTCTTTATTTATTTTTTTTTACTTAATGCTCCGTATACCACAGTTAAGTTAACATTTAAGCAATCCGACAATAACTTAGCCTGTCGCAAGTTATTCCGCTTTACACACGAAACCTGTCACAATCCAATGTCATGAATATTTTAATGTTAAGGCTCTTTGTACACAAGGCAACTTAAATCTTCGAAACTAAGTAATGGTTACGTTGCGGGACTCGCGTTGCCCGCACCGTACACTATGGGCAACGGTCACTTCGCTATTTCAGCGATATTAGGTGGCCGCTCGCTTGTTTGCCACCTTATGATATAAAAAAAATTCTTGCCATAATCTTGTCCAACAGCTTGCAGGCGACTGTCATTGGTAATGATATATAGAAATCTCGGTGACGCGCTCAATCTCTATAACATTTGGAAATGTATTTTTTTTAAACATTTTATTCAAGAGGGTCTCTTAGAAGATTGTTTTGTAATAGTCGAATACCGAATAGAAGAACACAAGTATGTTTCATGTTTAAATAAACATCAATATAAAGTTACTAGCTATCGCCTGCGACTCGCCGCGGAATTAAAAAAAACTTAATAGATAGCCTATGCGTTCTTCCATACTATGTTCTACATCCACGTCAAATTTTATCAAGATCTGGTGAGCCGTTCCTGAGATATCTTCAAACAAACATCCATCTAAACATTCGCATTTATAATATTAGTAAGATTAAGAAGCTGTATTAATATTTGAACAGGCGATGAAAAACCCGCGCGGTACGTAATTCGCTTTTTACAGTATGACCCCGTTTAATAGTGTATGTTATTATGTCAAAGTTCAAACTTTAAAGTCAACTTTAAAATTTACTTCATACAACTCTGAACAAGATTTATTTTTAGCCTGTTGGTGACTTTATTTATCGAATTATTTAATTTTGCCGTTCCATTGTTACCTAAACAGATACGGAAATCAGATTTAAAACGTCTCGTTGCATGTCTTTGCACTTATGTATTAGAACTTATATTGAGAAGAGAGTCTCTGGTACCACCGCCTACTCAAAAGGTCGAAAAGTCCAGTAAATCTTGTTTAATAATTCTCATTGTTATTACTTAGTACGTTAAATATTGAATTCCAAACGCTGATTTCTAGAATATATCGTCACCAGATCCTAGATAATACAGGTGTGCCCAATGCTTAGGCATTTATCCTTTAACAAAGTGAACGGAAAAGGACTGACATACACGGACTTCCAAGCACAAAAAATACAGACGTCAATTTTTTTTTAATACCTATATTATAAGGTGGCTAACGAGCGAGCGGCCTCCTGAAATCGCTGAAATAGGGAAGTGACCGTTGCCCATAGACATACGCAATTGCATATGCGTTGCCTACCTTTAATCGACGGAGGAGAGGATGCACAGAAAGCAAATATCTTCCCTTTCCATGCATCCTCTCATCCGGAAAGTCCCATTCGTTCCTTATAAGAAAAAGGGTGGGAAGGGAAAGAGAACTAAATAAGGCCTCCGGGACGCACACTCATCAGACGAAACTCCTATTCGTCAATTCGTGCGAAGATGTTAAAGCGGGCTCTACCACTGTTAAAAAAGTGGAAGTAATCCCGTGTTTTGTCTGTTGAGTATGTACCGCTGGCGTAACGCAGAGTAAGGGGAATTAATCTCTTCCTGTGCGCCCTCTCCTCCGTTGATTAAAGACAATGCTTCTATAATTGCTGATGTCTACGGGCAACGGTCTAATGATTCTTTTTTTAATTCCGCACGTAAAAAGTCTCCGGCAACTGCTATTAATTTTTATCATCGAAGTTCTTTAATGAAACTATTCAACCTTTTTGGTGTTCGAAGAGTTTTTATACTAGTTGTACTGGCCACTTAGAATATTGTTAACGTAAAAAACGTTTCGTATATAGCGACCCTAACATTTTGTAACGGACTGGTTGATTTGCATTTGCACGCACTTCGCGAACGCGTTGAAACATTGTTAAAGCAATTTTATTAAGCGTTAATAATTTTTCAACATAACGAACGAATTATCGACTAAATTGCAATCTGAATTTATTAATGGAGTATTGCCGGAATGGTGAACTTAAGTGAAGACAATCTTACTAATATTATAAATGAGAATGTTTGGACGGATGTTTGTTTGTTTGTAGATATCTCCAGAACGGCTGCATGGATCTTGATGAAATTTGGCATAGATGTAGAACATAGTCTGGAAGAACACATAGGCTATTTAAGTTTTTTTTTAATTCCCCGCAAACGGTGTCGCGGACGCCAGCTAGTTATATATACACAATGAAAGTCAAACCGTGTGAATGTTTAGATGTCATTGTGTAGACGTATTGTAAACTGTGAACTTTCAATGTCATATTATTACGTGCTAATTATCTTTGTGGGCAATAAAAAAATAAATAACATCGTTATTTTTCAAGGTACGTTACGAAAG